TAAAAACCCGAAAAACCCATTCGTTTTAAATTCGGTGTGTTCTTACTATGTCTTGAAAACATAGAAAATCGCCTTGGCTCAATTTGACTGCACGGTTCTTTGCGTATCCCACTGAAATCGGTTGACCAATTACTTGATCAATTCCTACCAAACAGGATTGACTTTACCCCCTTTGGTGCAATCCGCGTTCCTGTGAACCTTAAGTGCAACACCAGCATCCTCAAACGTACTCTTCCAGTCACTCAGTAATTGAGGAGTGTTATCAGTACTGCAATCATCGCAAATACAAAGCTCTAATTTCAAAACACCAATGGCGGTCTGTTTCAGGATACTTTTAAAGCAGTTTTCAATCCAGGTCGCACCATTATAAATGGGGATAATGATACTCTACAACGATAAATCATGTATCTTCCACTCAAAATGTGCATACCTACGTGAAAATGTTAAAACTCATGTTTTTGCTTACAATAAAATGGTTATTTGAGGTCATGAGGTTCTGAATGCTACCTTCGGACGGGACAACCCCAGGGTTCAGAGGTGTTCTGTATCTTGTCTATACCACGTCTAAAAAAAAACTTTTAAAAAATTTAATTTTTTCTCTAGTGGTAGCTAGAACAGGGTGATGGTGTCGTTTGAGGTCCTCGGAATATCTAGTTTTCTCTATTCTTACCTTAACGATCACTTCAAATTGAAGGGTTCATAAATTAAGCCAAAAAACACTCACAAACTTTTGAAATTCGCTTTTCCAAAACCACTTATTTATGCACGAAAATTAGATTGTCCCGTGCTATTTGCTGCTAAAACGTGCTTTAGGTATCAACAATTCATAACTCCACATGCAAACTTGTCGCCAATATGCATAATAATTCCGTTTTTTGCAAAAGTTTGAACATCTTCTCCCACCTCGCCTTTGCTTGGGGTTATGCTCGCAGCATGTCTGAGCATGTCAAAAGTCAGTTGCCGGATTGTTTATATTTATTTGGAGAATCCAGCGCAGTGCGGTGTTGCCACGTATTTCACCCATTTATTAACAGTTCGTGTGTAACAATGAATAAAAAGTGTTCTTTCAAAATGAATGAACCATTAATTCAGTTTGTGTTAGCATTGTTGCTAGTGTATATACAACCCCAACGAACCCAAATTGAATGAGTCTACATGATAGCTATCCAAGGAAACAGTTTTCATTAACTTAAAATATTTTGCGGAGTTTGGCAACACCGCGTGAAATTTAAGCGGCGGCCACGCGTAGGACACCATTCAATGAACTGCGCATGCACCGCCCTCGCGCTTTGTCATAGAAGTTTTTATGTTTCTTTATTTGTCGTTGATATCTTTTAAACATCCCATACGAGTGTTCTGTTTTGCATGTGTGTACGTCTGCATTCATCCTTTTGAATGTGCTTGCCTTAAATATAATATAAAACATATTATTTGTAGTAGCTATATTCACTTAATATGGTTAAATTATTTCAATAGTTATGAAAATATACCCAATAAGTGCAATAGAACTAGTGACTTCTCAATTCTCTATCCAACGATGCCAAAACGAATTCTGTGGCTCGAATGGTTGTTGAGAAACTTCGAAAAAAGCAGCGTTATGTTCAAGTGGATTTTGCAACTCAAAAAAAAAAACCACGCAAATCTAAAACTTCTTGAATTCAAGCATTTTTTCACAAAACTGCAACATTTCCTTATCGATGGTTCACTTATTATTTTCAAATCTTTTCAAATAGTATTCAAATTATTATTTTATTTACTCTATGGTCTAGCGTCTAGTTTTATAAATTATTTTACTTTCTCTATGCGCTAGACGCGAGTGCGCCGCTCTTGCAGAAACTTAGGTTATGTGTGATAAAACAAAACAGTATAAGCAATTCTTGGCACTTCGAAGTTTGAAGCATGTCTAACAAGTTGAACATATCAGTTTTTATCGGCATTATCAGTGCACCCATTGTCCTGTGTTACTTTTTAAAGAAAAGGTACAAACAACTAGTAACAGATCTGGAAAAAGATCCCAAACAAAGCACATATTATGAATGTATGTTTTTCGACTACAGAAACTTTTGCTGCAAACCACATTTAATAAGCAAACAGGAGTGTGGGTACATCTGCTCTTATACTCGGTTGGAAAGGCTTTTACGTTACATTGGTAGTGCTAAAAAGAGTATTAGTATGTGTATGTACATGATGACTCTGCAGCAGATTAAGGACGCATTAATTAGTGCTGCTAGAAGGGGAGTGCTTATTAGATTTGTTATTGACAAAGTCAACAGTAGAAATTGCCATGTGAAACTCAACTTGGACCATCTTAGCGCAAATGGTAAGTAATCGAAAGCAAGTAATTGAAGAAAGTATCGACTGGGCCTTTTCAGGAGTGGTCTGTTTGACCTCTCCATCAGAAAATGAAATAATGCACCACAAATTCTGTTTAATTGACGAGAAGGATCCGCAGGCAGCTAAAGCATTTTTCGGTAGTGTAAACTTAACTGCGCAGGCATTTTGCCAAAACTTTGAAGCCCTCATTCTTACTAATAACCAAGACATTATCGAAAGACTTAGTGCCGAGTTTGAGCAATTGTGGACTGGATTTCACTGCAATTCCGTCTGCCATTACAACAGTGTAAAGGCATAAATCTTTTCTTCGATAATTCATAGTATCTAAACAGTTTCAGCGCCCATTCTTACCTTAAATTTGGAACAACTTACCTAATGAATAATTCAATAAAGACCATCAGAATTAATAAATTAAATCACATAGGCATATTAAAATAGTCAATTTTATTAGGACATATTTACAAAATCCTCTACCAGAACTGTTTCCAATCAAGCGCTAACGTTCCTGATAGGCAGGGTGGCAAATAGTTTGGCTCATTGTGGTTGTTCTCGCTAATAAAACTTACTTCTAACATTACTTTACCATAACGCACTTAAATCGAGACCGGACTATAAAACATAGTTAAACGAGTATATTTTACAGATAGATGTGTACCTACATAGGCTCTAAACTTTTTTCGGTTCATTTTTGTGCGTGACACAAAAAGGAAGAAATCGTAATCGTATTCCTGCATAATTAAAAACATTACTTTCATCCACTTTGGTTGCATTTATATTTCATGTTCATCATTGAATTTCATATCAATATACTATCTATATACAATAAAGCAATAAAGACAAAGTTCAGTTCAGTCTTTCATATTCGTGACAAAATTTGGTTTAATTCTGCTCACACTTTAAGGTCGGTTGTTTCCAAGTCGTGTCCCTATCGCAGACACTTTTCATTGCCCAACAACTGTACAAAGTTTGACTTCTACTCAGGGTGAGAATAGAATATGTGAGAACTGTACGCTGCCTCCGTTCCAAACCGTTTCTTACAGAATGGACAGGGAAATCGAGATCCTTCGCACTGATTTTTCTTGTGAAAGTACAAATGCGATTTGTTTGAAAAGGCCTCCCAACAACTAGAGCACTTGTAGGATTTATCATCATTGAGCATAAGATTGGGTGCAACAGTGATAAAGTTCGCTGCTGGGCCACTATTGGGCTGATTGGCAGGCGCATATGGTCCTTGATAACCGCCCGCATTTTTGATAATGTTGCCCCCGTGGGATCGTTGTACCGGAGACGAGGATGCTCGTTTCGTTACCAAACTGATATTGGGATTGTTTTCTACCAGTTTCAAAATATTAGGGTTCAATGCGGGTTTCTTTATAATTGGTGTTAGTGATACTGCACCTCCTCCTATTTCCCTAGGCAATGAAGGAGGCGACGGTGATCTTTCATGCCCTTCGTGAATTTCCACCATTGGCTCAAAACTGTCCACGGGCTCCTCTTTGACCTAATTAACGAAATTTATCATTGGCAGCAAAACTGGCTCGGTGACAATGAAATGACTATATTTTCAACTTACCCGAATTTCTTCATATTGACTATAGTTTTGCTGTTGTTGCTGTTGCACTCTTTGCTGTATCTGTTTTTGACGTAGCATTTGCTTCTGCTGGATTTGCTGCTGTTGTAAGGCTGCCTTTTGCATTTGGAAGGTTTGCTGTTGCTGCAACCGCTGCTTCAAAATGTTCTGTAAAACGTTCCACAAATCCAGTTACGTATTATAGGAACGCATTCATATTTCTAATTTCAAACGTACTTGTTGCATTATCATTTGGGGGTTGGGCCCCCCATTAGCAGCGCCGCCTTGGGGTTCGCCTTTGTGAATTCGCATATGGCTGTTACGCGAATAAATTGTGGGGAATGGTGTACCACAAATGTGACAAATGAAGCTTTGTGGTGGGCCCGGTACAGTCTCATTGAGAATTTGCTTGGGAATGTATACTTCATCCTGTAACCAAATGATTGGCATCTTATGAACCATTAAATGGGCTAGCAATAAGCAGTAAAAATTACCTTGTAAGGTCCAATATCACGAGCGCAATTCCGGACGGGCCGGCCTGCCGTGCTCATATCGCCATTGATTTTGGGTTCTGTACCAGGTTCTTGTTTAACTTTCACCTGTGGATTTGGTTTGGACGATGGGCCTGGCATTCCCGGCTTCATGGTAGGCCCGAAACCAGGCGCGTAACTGTTATAATCACAGTTCTTGCTGTGGGCATTGAATTCGTCCAATTTGAAGAATACCTTTAACGTGATGCGTTTTGTATAGTAGGCCACACGGCTTTAGACACTGAGCCAAACCTTATAGCACTTTCTGCAGAAGTATGCTTGATTTTGAGTTTTGCTTTGGGGATTAACTAGGTCCTTTGGTTCTTCCTTGACCTTCACCAAACTGTTCAAGTTGGGCGAGGACGTTTGCGTTGCGTTGGATTGTTTATTTCTTTGATCGAATCCTCCCTTCATTATTACAGGTGGCGATGAGTAATCCTCCAATCTGATCTAAGATCGATCGAGATAAGTCTGTTAGTTATGGGGTTTATCAAAAATGCACACAACGACAACAACATACCTCTCTTGGTTTTTCCGGTTCCCCAGGAACTATTTTCTTCACTTTATCAGGTTGAATTATTTTGGGCAAGGTATTGTTGAGTTTGCTAGCAGTATATATCTTGTCAGATAGAGAATGCTCGTGCTTTTTGTGATCTTGAACATGTTCGTCAAACCTAACCGAATTGTTGATTAGTCAAAATATGTTACGACAGGCTTGGCTGTCTCAACAATTACCTGTGCCTTTGCTTATTGAATCTCATTCCACAATATCTGCAAGTGTAGAAGCAGGCAAATGAAAAGTAGTGGCTCTCAATGGCCCAATTATCTTTAAAACAGTATCTACACAGTGCGCAAAACCTTTTTGTTTGACCTCCTATTCTCATGCACTGGTAAAAAGCCTTTCTTTCTTCTTTGGTATAGTCTCCTAAATAAATGCCATTCACCTGCGAATAACAAACCACTTAATAATTGAAGTGGTTTTACAAATTTTGTGCAATAGTACCTACCATAGGTTTCATACCAACTAAGACAACTTCGTCATTTTTAGATGCATCTAAAGTTTTTCCTGTATCCTCTACCAACAGTGTAGCATCTTCTTCTGCTCTCACAACAGTTTCCTGATTAGTCTCAGCCTCCTCGTCTGCATCGTACCTGTAAAATTCAATGGGGACGTAAATGTTACCATCTGGCGTCTGGGACAGTCTGCTTCAACTTACACGACCTCATCAAAATTAGTGAGCCATTTGTTTCGGATTTTCGCAAAGGGATGTTCATTGGGCCAAGGTTTTGGTTGATCAATTCTTTCATCAATATCCACTTCCATGTGGGTTGTTTCATGCACTGCCAGCAGTTTACTATTTTTAAATATTATATGGCAAATTTTGCAAGTAGGATGACTCGGTATTCGTTTGCAATAGATCGCTTCGTAATTAGGAACGTTACGTTCATTGAAGTAGGCTACCGTCAACTCCATGAGTGATAAGGGCTCGAAACTAAACAAAAATTAGAAGAAGTTCATTAAAAATCAGTGTACAAGGCGACTTAGTATGTGTAAAGTTGCACAACCAAATGAAAAACGAAAACGTTACTCACGTGAACTCTGGCTCTTCTTTAAATATGTTCACACACGTTGTCTTAATTTGGGCAATTCGGTCTTGCTCAGCTTTGCGCTCTTCATCAGATTTTTCATTTAGTTCCCCATCTGAGTCATCAAACGTGTGCTCGCTGTCTTTATCTTTCTCCTCGGAACTATCATCAGTTCCATTGTCTTCTGTCTTTCTTTTGGCTAATTCCTGGTTGATTTCGTCTTGAATCTCTTTGGAGGATTTGTCAATTTTTCTTCGTTTTGCTGGATGATTTTCATTGGACTCGTTGCTCTCAATATCGCTTGGAATATCAATGTCGTCATAATGTGAAGCTTCTTCACCTGCAAAAGAAATATGCAATAGAAATATGTAATGTAACTGACAGCAATATAGGCTTTTGAAAATGAGAAGAGACGAGACAAGGTTTTGCAAGTCAAATAATGCGCTTTTCACTTAATGAATCGAGATCAGTGTGACGGTAATTCTACACTATTCATGCACGCGATCTCACTAGTAGCAGTATAGCAGTATATTACCTCCTGCTTGTAGATCAGTCAAACTGCTACATAATGAATCATCTAGTTCATTATATACAGGACGAATTTTCCTTCTCCTCAATACCTTTTCAGAATCAGAATCGCCTGCAATTATTTATAACTGCTCTCAATATCTTCATGCGACATTATTGAATTGCATAGAAGATAATTAGTTTGCATTAGTAGCAAGCGATTTTGGCATAAGCAATGTAATTGCGAATCCGTGGACTTACCTGTAAACACTCTGTTCTTCTTTAACGACTCTCGTAACATTTCGTGTAGATCAGTGGAAAGCTCAATTTCACCGTTCACGGTGCTGGCATCTAGAATGCCAGTTTTGCAATTGGCACATAGAATGGTCAGATCATGTGTAGATGTGGCTTGATCTTTCAGGTCCTCCTCCTCTTCCTCGTCCTCATCGCCATTTTCAATAAGCTGGAATAAGGCTTTTTAGTTAGAATTTATGCACCTGCACAGATGTGTGTGTAGACTACAAAACCTCCTATCTTATTGCGATAGCAAGTTTCTCAATAAACAATGATACAGCAAACGAAATAAAAATAAACAAACTTGACACTGACCTTGCTTCCGGTACATCCTAGGAAGAGTAGTATGTTTTTGTCAGTTGTGTCGCCCTCAGTTTTCAGTTTTTCCACATACTTGTCCTGCGTTTTCCGGCTTCGTTTCTTCAAACTGCTGATGAGTTGCAGATTGAGAACGCACTTGTCGCATACAAGTTTGGAAAGGGGATCAGTTTTGTACAGCTGAAGACACATAGGCACATGTTCGAAGTTAGGTTATGCACGGTCAGTGAATAACAACAATAACTTACCACTATTGGCAAGTTTTCTTTAATTAGCCCGATCAGTTGGTAGCCTTCGGGGTTGTCTTCGAAAATATTAAACATTTTCTCAGTAACATCGTCGCACAATCGACACGGCTCGATTTCTATTTCCGGGAGATCTGCAGAAATTTCCTCACCATCCGACAATTCACCCGGTGATTCATTAGAGTCTTTGATGGATTCACCATTTTCCTCCACCACCTCCATTTCCTCGACCGGCACTGTCGTCTCACTCATTATTTGAGGTTAGACGTTTAAGCAAATTAGTCGGCAATCAAAACAATGGCCAAAAACTCGTAAAAATCCAGCTTATCTAGCGCACACCGCGACGCACACAACGTTGTCCGCCATTTTGATCCTTTGCGACAGGCGGCCGTCTCCTAGCTAGCCGCTCTGCGTCAAAAAAGGCTCTCAGGCGCTGGCCAGCCAATTTATTCTTCGGCTCTCGACTTTACACACACTTGAACAACACCCGCAATCGACCGCAATAAGTATTCAAATTCGAAATGGCAACGGCTCGGGACGAAGCTCTATCCGTACAAAAGCTTGGTTGTCTGTTGGTTCATCGAGTGGTACCTGCATCAGCCAAACTGGAAGTTGAGAACTGAGCAACTGAGAAGGAAAAAGTGATCAATACGGTGTTCCACGCGCATGAATGCGAGCAAAGTTGGATTCCCTTTCGAGGAAAGGAGGTCTGAGCACATCGAGCAGTAGGAGAGGGAAGCCAACATCAATTTCGAACATACGAGCAACGAGAAACTGCTCGGTTAGGGAGCTCACTGAGCAATCTATCGATCGTAGCCTGCCATGACGCCGCTAGAAAACGAGTGAGGATTGGGGCGTCTGACCTTTTTGATAAGCACCTACTTGATTCTCTTGGGTCGGCGTCCGTTTGCCAAATGGCGGCGGTTATTATCGAGCTCTCTGTTTTGTGATGCTGTCCTGGATGTTTTTAACAAATCCATCTGATATTCGTTCACCAAGCGCCCTTTTCAATTCAACCTGTTTTATGCTGGATCGATTGATCCAGTCAAGCCTGTTGGCAGTAGGTGCATTGACCAAATCCTAATTCTAATTGATGATTGTGAGTGGGAGTGATTGGAAAGACCTTTCCTGTCAACTGGTATACCCGACTATACGAAGGAGCACTACCTACTTGCCGCTTACTCTATTAGCGTCACAAATCGAAATGTCATGTTTCCAGACTGTCAGCTCTAACGAAACGAAAATAAACTGGAAAATGATCGAGTATCTACCTATTTAGAAACGTCTCCTGGTGCTATTAAACCACTTAGGCTCAATCAATCAGGGTTCAAACTGAGGATTTCCACATGCTTCTGATCCGCAGATCCTGCTTTACTCTCGTTCATCTCAATTGTGGTTTTCACCCCATAGGTCGAATGTGACTTACTCTTCGGTTCCCTTGGAAATATCATCACAAACTCTGTCTAAAACCTTAGGAAATTTTAAGTGAGCCATGGGAAAAAACATGAAAGTTAACATTTAGCATCTGCTATTTAAAACAGGTGTGCGGACGTATTGGAGCCACAGCGGTTGCCAACATGTTAAGGATTGCCAATCAAGACTCAATCCAGAGCTGGTCTCGTCATTTTCTGATTAATTCAAGTAAGTATCCAGTAGACAACCAAGACAACCCACATAGCAAAATGATATTCCCAGAATATACCTGGAACATTCATGTGATGTACTTGCATATTCCTGGGACATACATGAGTTACATTATGAACATTCCATGCATGTCCCAGGAATCTGTCAGAGTTAATACACTGTA